CACCATTAACATTCAGTCCAGAAATCAAATGATGTATTGATTTAGGTAAATCTGTTGCACAAGACCTCTTTAAAGTGTTCAAGAGCAAAGATGCCAGTTTGAGGACTACAGTGCACCTGACATAAGCCAAAGTATTTTCAATAGCCTCATATGCATGTGATAGTTAGACAAAAAATAAGGAATATCGTAGAAGAATTGTTACATTTGAATTACAGTGTTGGAGAAAAATATTAAAGGTACCGTGGACTGCCAGAAGAACAAACAATTATGTGTTGCAAGAAGTACTACCAGAATGTTCCTTAGAAGTCAAGATGGCCAGACTTCATCTCTCATAGTTCAGGCATATTATCAGGAGGGACCAGTCCATGGAGAATGACATCATGCTAAGTAAGGTCGAGGGTCAGCAAAAAATCTAACAGCACAGATAGGCATAATGGCAGCAGCAATGCATTCAAGTATAGTAGCAATTGTGAGGATGGTGCAGGACCGGGTGGTGTTTCGTTCTGTTGTACCCAGGGTCACTGTGGATCAGGACCAACTCAATGGAACTCAACAACAACAATCAGATAAGAATAGCTTAGCTATATGCTTTATCAAACTACTTTTTAACCATAAAAACAATTCCACTACTGTTGTTAAGTGCTGTTGTGTCAATTTCGACTCATAGCCATACTTTATAGTTTTCAAGGAGCAGTTGGTGTGTTTAAACTGCTCTCTTGTGGTTAGTAGTCTAAAGTTGTTCCTATAGTGTTACACATGTATGCCATGATAACATCATAAGAAAAATAAACTATCATTATATATCAACTACCAAAATCATTTATTTCACAAATATAACATGCAGCCTGCTTTAATTTTACCTGTTCAGCATTTCCTTTCCTCTTGTGTACTTCCCCTTTATATTCTTTTCTGTTCTATCCTGGTGTGACAGTGTAGGACAAGCACTCAACTGCAAGGTCGATTTGTGCTGCAAAGTTGGTGGTTAAAACTCACCAGCTGTTCCTTGGAAACCCTATACTGGGTTGCTATAAGTCAGAACTGACTTGATGGTGCTAAACAACAACATCCTTACAATAAGAAGCCATGGTGGTACAGTGGGTTAAGCATTAGGCTGATAACTACAAGTTCAGCCGTTAAAACTTACTAAACTGCTTCCAGAAAGATTTCGGTTTGAAAACTATGCATACCAGTTCTCCTCTATCCTATAGGGTCTTTGTGAGTCAGAATTGACTGGTTGGCAGCTTTTGCCCATCCCACAATTTTGTTTTCATAATCAAATATGAAAATGCAGTCTTTAAAAGTCTTTTTATATTTGTGCAATAGTGATAAGAAACAGAAATTTGTATGCTCTCCAAAGTAAAAGTTGCATCAACACATAATGCTTTATCTTTTTTCATGGTAAATACATGTATAACAACACATTTGCCACTTTAACATTCTTCACAGGTACAGTTCAAGGACATTAAGTATATAACTCTTTTAAAAACTTATAATTAAAGATACTTATACTCTTTCTCAAGCTATGATCACAGAATAGCCACTCAGAACGTTTTAATATTTCCTGATAATGTTCTAAACTCTCTAAACATTTTGTTAAAAAACAAAGAAAAAATTTCACAACCATGAATTTTTAGTTGTAAAGTTGGTCTTCCAGGTATGCTATCACTGAAATTTCCTTTTTTCAAACAATGCAGCCAGTCATGTTTGGAGAACACCTGTGATGTCAGCATGCCGTTGCTGTTGCTGTTGCTGCTGCTGCTGCTGCTGCTGCTGCTTTTGAATTTGTAAGTTCTTCATATTTGCTTTCACATATAATTTTCAACAAGTCTAAAACATGTACAAAGTCTACTTGATTTTTTTCTTTTACTTGAATTATAGAAAATATCAAGAAGCCCTGTGTATCTACTATGTAAATGGACCTGCAAACATAAATTTGGAAATCTTCGAAAGTCTTTTATACATTAAGAAGTTTTATGCATCAAATACAACTTTCACTTGCACAAAAACAACAGGCAGCTTTCTCTCTATGGTGACTGAACCACACTTCAAAAGCCCATAAACGATGGAATTCTGTACTCTCAGGTAACATGGTCAACTATACTGTAATTACTTTCCTTTTCTTCTCCAAAATATTTGAAATTGTTCATTGCAACAGATAAAGACTTTCTCAAAAGAAAACAAAATAATTATTATCTGATCCTAGCTATAATTGGATTTTTTTAATGTTTTACATAAACTGTATGTAGTAATGGCAGTACTGCACAGAATTATATCAAAATCTATTCAGATAATGTGATTTTGAAAAATATTCATAGATTTCAAGATATAAAAATATCTGAGTTAAAGACATATTTTATAACATAAAGATAATACTGATTAATCAAACATTCATAGTTGATGATCAGTTTTAACTATAACTAAGGAGTCCTTGTGTGGCACTGTATGATAAACACTCGACCACATGGTTGGCAGTTCAAACTCATCAGCCACTCCTGGGAAACACTATAGAGGGTAGCTATGAGTCCGAACCCACTCAACGCCACTTAACAACAAGGCATATTGATGAAGAAGGGTTGGAGGGTAAAACCAAAACAGTAAGAAGAAACACTGATTGGACAAGCAAAGAAAAATATAAGCTCTTTAGTTTATATCCCTACTAAAATGAAATCAGAGTTGTTTTTCTGGGGTCCTTGTAACACAGGGTCACTATGAGTCGGTACCAACTCAGTGGACTTAACAACAACAACAACAGTAATGATGATGAAAATCATCGGCATCATCACGATCATAATTATTTATTGAGCTCTTAGTATGTACTAGTCACTGTTTTACCTGTGTTAGACAGACAGTGGGGACCATTAGTCCCATTTTACAGATGAGGAAACCAAGAACCAGGGAAATTAAGCAACTTCCTTAAAGATGCAGATTTAGTAAGTGGCAGTCAGGATAATAACCCATGCTGTTTGCAGAAACTACACTCATCACTTCTACACTGTACTCACTGCCCACCTAGCATTGAGAGGTGTGAAAACCAATGACAATTCAAGAATGTAAGTTAGTTGGTTGAATACTATCATGATTGAAAGCATTGAGAAGACAGCATACAATGAACAGTGTCCTCTACATCATCTAAATGTAGATTTAACCATTTCCCAAGGCTCTTTCTCACATCGTAGCAAATGTGAGATTCTACTCCCTAAAAGGAGTCCTGGTGTGGCGCTATAGGATAAGCACTAGATCTCAAAGTCAGTTTTAACCACAAGATCAGCAGTTCAAACTCACTAGCCACTCTTTGGAAACCCCATACAGGGTCGCTATGAGTTGGAACTGACTTGATGGCCCTTAACAACTTTCTAAATAGTCCCTATAGTGCAGAATGTCATGTGGACTCATATATACTTCAAAATAAGTTGATTATAAAATGTGGTTCTTAGCTACATAAGGCTATTAGCCACAGTCAGTTAAAATTTTAAGGGAACATCTACCCAAAAGGATGATTTTTATTTTGAATAATTGGTTTAAAGTCCTTCTTTCTGATAGCAATTATATAGTAGGCCAGTTGTGAGAACCACAGACATTTTTTATTGCAATAAATTCATATTATCTGGCTGTTTATCTTTCTATTCTCCACAGCAAAGATAAGGAGAGAAGACAGATCAAGTGCATACAAAAGTACACTCACCCACTCCTCAATAAGTACCTTGGTTAAGTTCCAAAGAACAGATCATTATGTGAAAATGGAGGATGACCACAATAGATCACAAAATATAGGATGACTACATCATAACATACCTGTCAAGTTAAGTAACTATTGAGCCTCAGAAAACCACGGTCCAGCCAAGTTGATACATAACTTCAACCACAACAGTGTTATTTTCACCTTGTATGTCAGCATTCATTACTGCCAGACATACATTGTTAATATGCAAAATAGACACAGATTTTTTTTACTGTTGTCAAAATTCAAAATGTCAGATAATGAGATAGACAGTTGGTAAGTGAGGAGTAGGTATAGTATCAAGTCATTAAGATACAAGTTAAAAAGGGCTCATACCAGGGCTCAATAGCACTCATTATATATAGCATGTGTGTAATCATACTTTGGACTGTTAAAGAGAATCAACAACTCTAACATACCTTTCATTTAAACCAAAAGCCAACTTTCCCATTTCTATTTTAATTCTACAGAGCCATAAACTGAGCCATTATTGAGATTGTCTTCTTAATCAATAACTTGGTTCTGCTTTTATTTTAGCTCCATGATATACAGAGGTTCCATTACAGGCATACCTCATTTTATTGCAGATACTGAAGTTTATTTATTTATTTATTTATTTCACAAATCGAAGGTTTGTGGCAGCCCTGCACTGAGCAAGTCTATCATTGCCATTTTTCCAATAACATGTGCTCACTTCATGTCTCTGGGTCATTTTGGTCATTCTCACAATATTTCACTTTTTCATAATTCTTTTGCACACTTAATAGACTATGTTGTTGTTCTTTAATGCCGTCTAGTCAGTTGCGACCCTGTATAGGGTTTCCTAGTAGTAGCTGGTGAGCTTGTACTGCCAACCTTGTAGTTCAAACCGACTTTGCAGTCTAGCGCATTAACCCACAGTGCCGTAATTTTTATATGCACTAGAAACCAAAATAAATTCATATAACTTGCTTTATTGCAACATTCATTTTATTGCAGTGGTCTGGAATGGACCCCACAATACCTCCTGTATGTGGAAAAGATCAAACATTATGACATTGGCTTACCAAAATGATGTGAAGAAATATCTCATATTGTCGCATGTTAAACAGTGCTTCTTTTAACATATATGGCTGAAGCTCTTGACTCATGAGTGGATTCTGAGTTACTTTCTCAAGGATGGCTGTATAGCGGTAGGCTTGATCCTGAGCAGTTTGAAGTTGGTTATCAATATGCTGAGTGGTAGCTGGGATTGCTTCATGTAGGATAGCTGGCACTGTTTTTAAAGGTATAAAAGAGAGTCATGTAGGGATTTAGAACTGAGGGGGAAAAAAAACTAAAAATGATAATTTTTTAAGCATTAAATTGAATTTTTTTCCCAAATTAATTATATAATGAGGTATGTGTCTCACGGGTCATGAAGGAAGGGATACCAAAACACCTTATGCAAGCAAAAGACACTGTCAGAATGATAACCAAAAGTTAGAGCCAATAAGCCTTATCACCAAAATACAGAGACTAAGAATAGGCTTTAATATTATGTGACTGCTGACTACATACAGACTCTTAGAAAATCAGTGATCTCTCCTATATCCACTTTCCTATTTGTAAAAAAGTAAGGAGGGGATTGTGTGCTATTCAACAAACTCTTCAGGATACTGAAAAATTAAACAGAATCGTCTAACAAGGGAGGAAACTATCCAGGACGGGAATTTGACTTTTTACACCAATTTTTTAAATGTGAAAAATTACTTTACGATTAGAACAGTGATCTGATAAGACACTTTACACCTTGCCAGTGGGCCTACATGAGTACCAAACTCATAAGGAAGTGACCTTGATCAAATATTTCATGAGTACTTTCGATTTTCTAAACGAAGAATGCTTTCTGTATATAAAGGCATAACAGATATTTTTGAATTTACATTTCTATAAATATCTCCTCTTGGCTTTTTCATTTTTTATTAACTGCAGCAGCAACTGTTACCTTTGAAGGGTGATTTTTATTTTTTAACTCATTGAGTTTACCCCCTTTTGGTTATTTGATGTGGAGTAAAGTCCCCCTTGTAATGAAAAGGCTGGTATCTGGATGGGTTCTCTCATCCCTGGCCCTGATTCACTCTCCCACATTGCTTCACGGTGTAGGAAAGTTTAAGTTGTGACCCAGCAAAATTTAAAGTTACTACATGTTTTGCAAAGCCATTTGAACTGCAAGATCGGTGGGTCAAGCTCACCAGCTGCTCCTCAGAAACCCTATACAGAGTCGCTATGGGTCAGAATTGACTCAATGGCACTTAACAACATGTTATAAAGGAGCTCTGGTAGCATAGTGGTTATGAATCGGGCTGCTAACCTCAAGGTCGGTAGTTCAAAACTACCAGTCATTCCGTGGGAGAAAGTTGAGGCTTTTTGCTCCTGTAAAGATTTACAGCCTTGGAAACCCTGTGCAGGGTCACTATGAGTCGGAATCGACTCCACAGTACTTAACGACAACAACATGTTATAAAGGAGCCCTGGTAGCATAGTGAATTATGATCTGGGTTATTAACTGCAAAGTCAGTAGTTCGAATCTAGACAGACTCGGCAAGAGAATGATGAGGTTTTCTGCTCCCATAAAGATTTACACCCTCAGAAACCCTATGTTGCCATGAGCCGGAACCAACTTGGTGGCAAACAACCACCACCACCACCTATTATAAACAGTAGTTTTTCCTCGGATATAATCAAAACTGCAAATGTTAAATCTAAGAATGTCACTAGTATCTTGTGTATTATTTTCCTCGTTGTTGTTGTTGTTAAGTGCTGTCAAGTCAATTCCAACCCACAGCGACCCTGTATAGGGTTTCCAAGGAGCAGCTGGTAAGCTTGAACCGCCGACCTTGCAGTTCTAATGGATTTGCAGTCTGGCGCATTAACCCACAGCGCCACACTCTAACCCTATAGATATTATCACAGGTTTATAGAGTTAACCTAATACACTTACAGTCATCAATGCCTTCGCCTCCCTTTCCACAGTCTCTGTTAAATAAACGAATTCCAGTAACAATCATGGTGAATTCTTTCAGCTGGCGTTCTTTGTCCTTTTTAGAAAGACTTAGAAATGTCCCAAGCTCAGCCTGAGGAAAAACACTCTGAAGCGCAGCTAACATAAAGCGCAAAGAGGAAAACAAAATGGCAGAATAAGATATCCAAACTGAAATTACAAGGTTTTTTTCGTTTTTTCACTACAAAGTTGTTAAGGGACTAGTCTTTTTTAGGGCTACTTATGTGATTCTTTAGAGCCCTGGAGTGGCACTGTAGAATCAGCACTGGACAGCTAATCAGAAGGTTAGTGGTTCAAAACCACCAGCTGCTCTTGGAAAACTCTCTGGTAGCGTAGTGGTTACGAATCGGGCTGCAAACCTTAAGGTCAGTGGTTCAAAACTACCAGCTGCTCCGCGGGAGAAAGATGAGGCTTTCTACTCCCGTAAGGATTTACACCCTCGGAAACCCTGTACAGGGTCGCTATGGGTCGGAACCGACTCGAAGGCACTTCACAACAACAACAACAATGATGGAACTTAACAACAACATATGGCTCTTTAAATTTCTGATACCTGAATATCAAAGTTAGACTACTCAAAATTAATGCCACTGTGTCAGGTCTATTTCCAACAATTACACATCCATCAAAAATTTTTTTTTTTGGCAACGGTAGTAAAACTCTAATTAAAAAAAATAATTAGGGAAGAAAGTCATAGAAAGACTAGCAACCTCATGTAGCCTTCATTTTAAGGTATGAAAGTGGCGAAATATTTCCTGAGGATAAAACAGTGTTCTGTCCCATATTCCATTTTAGGTGACAGACTCAACTCTCTTCATCAGTATGAAATCTCCCTTGCCAGTTGTCCCTGTACCCAGTCTCTCTGGCACCCTTAATCATATTGCCAATATTTCTTAATCAGCTCTAAGAAAATTAATATTTCACTTTCTAGGGGTGTTACTTCAGTTTTAGAATTGATATACAATATGAAAGAAGTCTGAGTAAGCTTTTATCTCATCTGTGCTTTTGTTTTTGTTTCTCATCTAGATAAAAAGGGAACTTCAGTCTTCAACACTTCTAATTTAACCTATTTTATAAAATACAGTGATTATATATCCTTTACTTAGAGAACAAAAATTGTTTCTGGTTTTACCTGTTGCCTCTCTGACGATCTTGATATCTGTTGGGGATCCAAGTCCGGAGCGTAGTAACACATAACTGACAATCTTCCGATAGAGACTTTCCAGTTCTTCTCTAGCACATGATCTGTTATCTGTAATTTCTCTGCTAATAGGGCCTAATCTAGACTCTAAAACCCGATGATGTTCTTGAAGAAATTCCTCTAAAATTGGCAAGAGACAATGTTCCATATAATTGATGTTTAGAATTCTGCTCAAAGAAGAAAGTAGGGCCACATAAAACCTGCCTAGAGAATAGCAATTCTATGGCATAAAAACAAGGATTTTCTTCAGGTGTAACAACCAAAATAATAGCCAACAAGTAACCTTAAGACAAGAAGCCAGTGGGAAAGATTACTCACAGTGATTAAAAAAGATTCAGACAATCTAAACAGTAAATATCGGCGAGGGTAGATCCTCCCCATTGAATAGAAAATATATTATATATATATAGTTTGAACATATATAAAAATATACATATGTAAACTATATATAAAGAACATACATTATAGATCTGTTGTTATTAAGTGCCATTGAGTCAGTTCTGACTCATGGGGATACTATATAGGAATTCTGAGCAACAGCTGGTAGATTCAAACTGCTGACCTTGAGGTTAGCCATCCAACACCATAACCACTACACTGTTGTTGCTATGTGTCATTGAGTCGGTTCCGACCCATAGCGACCCTGTATAGGGTTTCCATGGAACAGATGGTGAGCTTGAATCACTGACCTTGCAGTTCAAACGGCTTTGCAGTCTGGCACATTAACCCACAGCACAACAACCACTACACTACTAGGGATCCATTATATGTAAGAGGGGGCTACATAAAATTCATGGACAAATTGTATTAAAAGATAATGGAATTCTTCCGTGAACTTTTTGAAGCCCCCTTATATATTTACATGTATAATGTCATATTTCCTTCAATTGTGTGTAATTCTACTTTGATTCTAGTTAAATGTTCTCTAAATAATTATTCCAATAAAATGTTACATCAAGAACTAGATGCTCTCTTTAAGCCGGTGCTCTAGGCTTAAAGGTGGCAGGAGGCTATGTTGATGGTAGTCTGCATTCTGGTGGACTCTGTGACATACCCCATATTACCATTACAAGGACAATCATTAGCAACCTGTGCAGTTCATACCTAAAGTCTTACCACAAAAGCAACTAAGAACTGTTTACAAATTAAAAAAGAAATCTTACTTATAATTGCATCACTTCAACGCTTATTTTATTGCTTTAAAATGTCATCATTATTAAGGATAAAAGCAAGATATATTATTTTAAATACATAGTATAACTAAAAGTACAATACACAGAGGGGAAAAAATGACAAAGACAATCACCAAGTGATTAATACCCTATTACAGTAGGGGCAAGGCAGTCCACAGAGAAATGTATTTTCCTTCTCTTGTTTCCAACTTGTCCTGGATGTATATATTAGATTATCTACATGGTAAAATTAGTTCTAAGCTTATCATTCCTTCTTTTATGGTCAATTACATAAAATTTGGTTAAACTTGTATGAAATAATAACATAAACCAGGAGCAAAGAAAAAAAATATGCAAAAACTCTGAACTCCAACTTCAGTGAGCTGTTGTTTTAATTTCTGATTATTATATATTAGTGTCATAAAGGTTATAAATCAGTAGACTTCTGAACATAATTATTATGGCATCATAATTAGAATTAACTTTAAATACTCACAAAAGTCACTGGTGGTTTACTCACTTAGCAATTCCAGTATTATTTTTATATTCTTCAAAGATGAAAAACATCTCAAAATATTGTCTCCCTCCCCAACACCCAAAATTGTTACCTAAAATGCAATGTGAAATCTTTTTAAATCATCAAAATGGGTAGAGACATGTTACCTCGACTTGTATAATTCATGTCAAAGTAGACTTGCATCTTAATGGTGTCCAGGGATGGATTTTTACTATCCAATAGCCGAGCTACACAAAGCTAGAAAAGAAAACACGATGAATGTTTCTAGTCACATAACCTGAAACACTCAGAACTATTTTCCAAAGTTATTTTCTAAAGTAAAGAGACACACCAAAGCAGTGGTCACAATATTTATCTACAACTCTTAATATTTTTTTTCTTTGAGGAGTTTGTACTTCATAGGCTACCCAATCAACAATACTTATTAAATTACTTCACCATTATTTGTTAAGCTAGTTCCCCTGAGTTAACCAATATGATTATGCTCAGGTGCTAACAGTCCAGTTGAAAGCAAGAAGCTTGACATTTTTGGTTAGTCTGTACAGTCTGAACACAAAGCTTATACTACTGTCTAGAGATCTTCTAGAGTTCCTCATTACTTTTTTTTTTGAGTCTTGAATAACACCCCTTTGCTGATGGTAGAGATCACATGCATTTTACAAAAAGCTGTTGGAGTTACCCTCCTCAGATTACAAAACTTTTCTGGCTCTGCCTTCTATTTCAAAAGTTCTTTTTCTGGTTTGTTTCAGTCTCTATCTCTTTCTGTATCTTTCTTTTAACATACATGACTCTGTTCACTTCTCTGCCTGAATTTTTTTTTTCTTCTTTTGTCACCTTAGAGGTGGCAACTACATTAGCAACATCACTCTTACACCCACCTCCTCCAGCAGGAGGTGTGGGGAAGTGGGGCTAGAGCTAGATGCAGGAATGAAGACTGGAGATTTTACCTGGATAGTCCAGACTGGCATCTGGATAGTGCAAGTAGAAGTACTTTTCTAAAACCAGACTTAACAAATAAAAAAGATTAGCTTGTCCACATGATTTTTATCTGAGATAAAAGGACTCTATATTTTATCACTTGAATTATGATATATTTTACTAGTATGTACCTGCAATATTAACAGTATATTGAGCCTGAGTCTTATCAATTTAGCTGAGTTGGAGGGGGAAAAAAAACTCTTCTTGAACCATGAAAGCGAGCAAAACTTGGTTCTCCCCAAAGGCTTTCCAACGAGTTTCTGTCGGATCATCAAAGCCATTTTCCCTATTAGTTCATGCATCTAAAGTAATAGTGACTAATACAAATACTGTATTTAGAACTGAAAAGAAGTAATTCCAACTTTGAGACTTGTTGGACAATCACCTTAACAAGTTTCTGTACGTCACTTTTTATGAGGGTTCTATCCATGTTAAAGCCATTACTTGGATCCAGAACAACAGCTTTCACCTGAGAGTTGGAAAAGAGTTATCCATTAATTGTATAATTTCATATGGTTATGAAATTAACTTAATATGTTTCCATATTTTTACAATTGCCTCTTTATAACTTAGGGATCAATGAGTCAGCTATTTTCCATATTTCCCAACTCACTTTTCATATTTCCTAATTCATCAGCACCTTTATCAGAAATTTGAAAAAAGAAGCAGTGAGCATCAAAACTGAAAACGGAGCTAGAAAAGTTATATAGAAGAGTAAGTTGAAAGCAATGGCTAGATTTTAGATCGGGAAACCATTAGTATATTTTACCATATTTTTATTGCATATTGTTAACCAAAAGCAAGAACAGAGAGACCATGACAATGAGCAATATTGATAACAAGTAAAAACACATGCTAGGGCATTTTTACACAGGAAGATATTATTAATGTCTCTAAAACTCACTAGGATTTTCCAAACCAGTCTCGAATTAAACATGCTTTACAGAGTTAAAAAAATATCTTTTTCAGTAACTTGTTGTACAATCTTAATATGTTTGAGTTGAGTAACATCCAAGAGAGCTTCACAAAACTCTACTTAAAATATTTTTTAATAAAGGAATAATTCACAAACATTTTTACCATAAAAGCAACCAAAGTTTCAGAAACAATCTCTCCGTTGGCTGCACACTCTTGTCCTATTTCTCGAATGATATTCTTTATAACACTTTCTGCCTGAGTGGGAGGCATTTTGGCTAAAAAAAAACCAGACAACACAATTATTATTTTTTTAAATGTATTAATAATGTATTACTTTTCCTCCTTAATTTTCTCTACTTTTACATTTATAAATTCAATAATAATACCATTTACTAATTTATTGGTATTTAATAAGGAGCTCTGGTAGCGTAGTGGTTACGAATCGGGCTGCGAACCATAAGGTCAGCAGTTCGAAACTACCAGTCGCTCCGCGGGAGAAAGATGAGGCTTTCTACTCCCGTAAGGATTTACACCCTCGGAAACCCTGTACAGGGTCGCTATGGGTCGAAACCGACTCAAAGGCACTTCAACAACAACAACAACAATTCTTGGTATATAGGTCGATCCTAAAGAGTTCTGGTGGCACAGAAGTTAAAGCACTAGATTCCTAGCCTCTCTGTAGGACAAAGATGGGGCAGAGTCTATTTCTGTAAAGATTTACAGCCTCAGAAATCCTGTGGGGCGGTTTCACTCTGTTCTACAGTGTCACTATGAATTGGAATTGACTTGACTGGCAGTAAGTTTGTATTTTGAAGGCCTCTCCTAGAGACAGCAGTCAAGAAATTAAATGATAAATTACACTGGGCAAATCTATTGCAAAAGATCTCTTTAGTTTTTAAAAGCAAAGATGTTACTTTGAAGACTAAAATATGCCTGACTCAAACCATGGTATTTCGGTAGCCTAATATGCATACGGAGTCCTGGTGTGGCACTTTGGGCTAATGCGTCAGACTGCAAAGTCGTTTGAACTGCAAGGTCGGTGGTTCAAGCTCACCAGCTGCTCCTTGGAAACCCTCTACAGGGTCGCTATGGGTGGGAATCGACTTGACGGCACTTAACAACAATATGCATACAAAAGCTGGACAATGAACAAGTTAGACTGAAGAGGAATTGAAACATTTGAATTATGGAGTTAGTGAAGAATATTGAACTTACAATGGACTGCCAGAAAAATAAACAAATCTGTGTTGGAAGAAGTACAGCCAGAATGCTCCTTAGAAGGGAGCATGGCAAGACTTCATCTCATGTACTTTGGACATGTTATCGGGACAGAGCAGTCCCTGGAAAAAAGACAGTATGCTTGGTAAAGTAAAAGGTCGGCGAAAAAGAGGAAGAACCTCCACAATATAGACTGATACCATGGTTACAACAGTGGACTCACATACATAACAGTGATTAGGAGGATGGCAGGGGACTACGCAGGGTTTCATGCTGTGTGCACAGGGTCACTACGAGATGAAACCCACTGGAAGGCACCTAACAACAATGTCAACAGGCCTTTCCTATTTTTCATTAGTTAATTTTTTTGTTTGTAATGAAGAACTTCATGGATTCGAGAAAACACTTAGAATTTCAAATGATTGAAACATTTCCTCTGGTTACTTAAATGATGATAATCACCAAAAGTATATTTATATCATGCTTTTTAAAAATTAAAAAGAAGCTAAACAGTATTTTGGAATAAAAACTGAATTAATGAGAAGCCCCAAACCCATCTGTGTAGGCAATAGAATACACAGCTTGAAAGAGGAGGAAATGCTGATCCCACCACATTAACTATATGACCTTTCATGATTATAAGCAAATCTTGGAAAACAGTTCTTGCTTAACCATCTAAGTTCTCTCTTCTGTATCCAAGTTGAAGCTGAGACTCTTGATAAAATCAAAAAAGCAAACTATATTATGAGAGTTATGCATCATGAAAATAAAACTCCTGGTTATTAATCCCATTTAAATTAAGCCAGGAAACTATAGTAGATTTTTAATAATTACTGCATTTTCTGATTTTCCTGAGTATCAGTTATTGAACACAAGAAAATTTAGCATGTAAAGAATCTCAAGGCATTTCCAAGTAATAAATGAACTAACTATCAACATTTTTCATGTTTATGTGAATAGGTAAAAGTTGCATTTGACAGTTTGCCTGGTAGAGTCAGATTGCATGCGCTCCATCACTGTCCGTTTTCAAGATGTGAGAATTTGGACACCTGTGAAATGGTTTCTTCATCTGAAAAATGAAGATAATACACTACCCTCTTCTCAGAAGTTGTTGTGATGATTAAATGACTTCTATATATTTAGTAAGTCTTGGTATGGCGCTGGACTGCAAGGTCAATTTAAACCACAAGATCAGCGGTTCAAACTCACCAGCCACTCCTCGGGAGCCCTATACAGGGTCACTCTGAGTTGGAACCGACTCGACAGCACTTAACAACAACAACAACATATATTTAGAGAAGGATCCCTGGTGGTGCAGTGGGTCAAGCATCAGACTGTTCATTGAAAGGTAGGAAGTTCAAACCCACTATCTATTTGGTTTGATAAGATGAGGCAGTCGGTTTCCATAAAAATTTACAGCTCAGCAACCCTCTATAGCAGTTCTGTTGTGTACTATCGGGTGCTATGAGTTAGAATTCCCTCCACAGCAGTGGCTTTTGTTTTAGTATATGGATATCTTTAAAAAATTCACGGAAATGCATATTATGAAACAATGCACTGATTTCAATCTTTTTTCACCAAAATAAACTCATAGTATCTTGTTACATAACATCTCTGAACAGGATGTAGTTTGAGGCACTAAGAAGGATACAACATTCATTTGAAAAGAGACCATGTCATAGCACATGGATTCTGCTTAAATTGGAGCAAACGCAAACATTAACTTTATGGTAAAGCTTGGGGGGAAGAATGGTGAAATCATTGATGCATCATGAAAAGTTTATAGGGGTGATGCCCCAAAGAAATCAGCAGTTTACAAATGGATAATTCATTTTAAGAAGGGACAAGGCAATGTTGAAGATGAAGCCCAAAGCAGCAGACCATCTACATTGACTTGTGAGGAAAAGATTTCTCTTGTTCATGCCCTAACTGAAGAGAACTGATGATTAACAGCAGAAACAACAGCCAACAGTATAGACATCTCAATTGGTTCAACTGACACAATTCTGACGGAAAAAGTGAAGTTGAGGAAACTCTCTGCACTCTGGGTGCTAATGTGTTTGCATCCAGATCAGCTGCAGACAAGAGAACGTTCAATGGGAACTTTAAACAATCAGGATCATGATTCCGAAGCATTTCTTGGAAGAAATTTAACAGGAGATGAAACATGACTTTACTAGTATGATCTTGAAGACAAAGCACAATCAAAACAATGGCTACCAAGAGGTAGAAGTGGTCCAGTCAAAGCAAAAGCTGACCAGTGAGGAGTAAAGTTCATGCCAACAGAATTTTGGATGTTCAAGGCATATTGCTTGTTGACTTTCTGAAGGCCCAAAGAACAATACCATTTGCTCATTATGAGTGTTTTGAAAAATCTGGCCAAAGCTTTAGCAGGAAAGCTTCACCAGAGAGACCTCCTCCACCCTGGCAATACTCCTGCTAATTAAATTACTCTCATCAAGCAAGAGCAGTTTTCCGAGTTTCATGGGAAATCATTAGACATCCACCTTACAGTCCTGATGTGGCTCCTTCTTTCTGGTTTTCTAATCAAAAAAAATATTTAAAGGGCATCCATTTTTCTTTAGTTAATTACGTAAAAAAGACTAATTAGAAATGGTTAAATTCCCAGGACTCTCTGTTCTTTAAGAATGGACTAAATGGCTGGTATCATCACTTACAAAAGTATCTTGACCTTCACTTTTCATTGGCAAAGAACAAGGCTCCAAGAATGAGGAACTGAACTCATCCTCCTGGTTCCTTTTCAGCCAAGCAGTAGATAGGTTAGGGGGGACAACTACAAAGAGAAATAAACCCACCATGGAATGGTCAACCATTCAGGTATCATTTACCTGAGGACAAAATGCAGAGAGGTTGGGAAAGAAGGTGGAATGGAAAAAAGAATTGCAGGGAGAAAGTGGGATAACTGATGTTACATTGAAGGGATTTCAATCATGGAAATGAAATAAAAGATATGATTTGTTGAATGTAAAATTGATGATCTGCTCTGTACATCTTCACAAATTCACAATAAAGAGTCCAAATACAATGTCTTGACCTTGATGGAGCTTATGTTGAGAAATAAAGTTTATATTTTTATCTTTTAACTCAACTTTTCCACAAACTTTTTGAGGTCCCTTTGTATATTTATTAAGGTCCTTGGTAGCAAAAATGGTCTGCGCTCATCTACTAACCATAAGCAGGAGAAAGATGAGGTTTTCTGCTTCCGCAAAGATTTAAAGCCTTGGAAACCCTGTATAGGGTTGCTATGAGTCAGAACTGACTACCCAGCACTTAACAACAGCTAACCATAAAGCATGGCAGTTTGAACCCACCCAAACTGTGATGCATAAAAAAGGCCTGGGTCTAGAGATTAACTTCTATAAATATTATAACAACAACAAAACTCTATGAAGCTGTCACTGATAAGGGGAAGCGGGGGAAGAAACAGCAATGAAGTTGGGATCTAAGTCTGACCACATTCAAAAGACTCCTGTGAACCCTGGTGGAGACCTGGATGGCCAGCACTTATAACAAGATCCAGGGACTCCTGGACCCAGAGGCAGTGACATGGCCACAGAGAACTAGAGCGGAGAATGAAGCGTGTAGCTGATATGAAGTGAGGGGAGATGCACAAGAACACCCATATTGCAGATAGTATCCACTTGACCTGGCTTTGATGGCTGGATGATCAGAACTCGAAAAGAAGAAGAAAGAAGAGGGAAGAAAAAAAAAAAGAGTAACCCATTACAATTTGATGAACTTTACCTATACGTATAGATGTAGTAGCTCAAAAAAGGGAACCAACCTTTACAGCAAGGATCACTCCTCCCTTCCCCCCTCCCCCCACACAGGGTTGACAGGGATGGACTACTTATACATTGGTTACCCAAAATGGGCGGGAGAGGTGGTGGCCTATAAAGGCAAGAAGTGACTGGCTTACAAGCTTTCAAGAGGGAGCCTAGTTCCAGACAGGGCAGGTGTAGGTGGAACCGCCACTGAATGATTTCCAATCTGTTGGGATCAGACTGGCGAAAGGAAATGGGGATAAGACTC